AACCTTTACCCATCTAATAGATTATTGGGCAGATACAGAATATTTACCTTCTTCAGAAATCTTTATTTTTCTGTGTTGTGTATTTGCAGTTACTACTAACAATATAATATCCAATATACATTAAGAGCTTAGCACATGTTAGGGACTGTTTTAAATAGTTTATATGTATTATCTCATTTAATCCTCACAACAACCCTCTGAATAGCTACTATTGTAGAGATAAGGAAACAAGGGAACTGAGAAGAAAAATAAATTCCTATTAGTTGGCTTGTCTTAACTAAGTGAGTCTTATTTTAATCTGTGTTTACAATTCCAACATGATAGATAAGTCTTTTGATAATCATTTTGAAAATAAAATCCAAGACTTTTGTCTTACTGCAGTAGTCCATTAAGCTATAATTATTTTCATTTTAGAGGTTTTAAATACCACTAACTTTGCCTGCTTCATCCACATAATTGAGGGAAATTATCCCGCCTCCTTGCGGTCCACACACATATTGAACAAGTCGTGAAGTTTCCAAGTGGTCATCTGTTATCACTCTTTCTTGCCAGGGGAAAAAATATGGAATCTAGAGATATGTACCCGCATTAAGCTCCTGTATTTAATGTCTTATATGTCGAGTGAATACAGCCCTGCCACCACACCACCACAAGCGCAGATTGGCACATGAGCTCTGCCCACAGAGGATGGCCTCTAAAACAGCTGCCCTGGGAAGTTTGCCCAAAGGGTGTTGTGGATAGTGTGGGGTAAAGTGTCTTTTCTGTGGGGGAACCTAGATGCTAATTACAAGGCAGGCCTCAGGGCTAGACCGCATTTCAAATGCAGCAGGGAGATTTCCCTTTTGTCTGGTGTCTTTTTCCATTTTGGAAGATCTGGAACAAGGAGTATCCAGCTGGCTAAGAAGCTCATTACTTCCATGTACCTTCATCATGAATCCTCATTACTGAGGGTAATGGAGGCCTGTCTCTTTCTCCCAATCTCAGAGTCCAAGTAATATAACAGGCTAAAAGCATTTGTTGGGTTATATTCAGTGCCTTGCCTACCACTATCTTTGGATTTAAGTAAGCTAGAATAATTTATCTACTTAATTAATATAGTTCTGCTTGAAATTAAAAAAAAGTAACACTTGACTCCTATATTTAATATACATTGTTTGCATCCAAGTTTAATGTAAGTGGATTTGATACATGAATGAATGTTTTTAATTGCTCAGAAATATATTCTAGTCCTATAATTGAATTCAGAAGAATCCTGCAATAATTATGAAACTACAGTAAACATTGCTGTTCCTCAGTTAAATAAAGAATACACAGGAGAAAGACAATTCATAATTCTCAAATATTTACTAATTCATCATCTACAAGCATCTCAAAGTTACTTTCTCTTTAGGACAAGTTATTGGTGTGTTTTCATTTCCAATTCCTTGAGGGACAGTGCCAGCATCCCTTTGTTAGTGTCAAAGATGGGGTAAGATCGCTAAGTGCCATCAGATTTGCAATAAAATGAGTTAATTATGATGAATAATTTCAATATAGCAGTACAAATCTTTTTTATTTTCTTTACTCAGCCATGACTATCTCATTTGGTAAGCCATGACCTCCTTTTTTTTGTTGTTCCTTCTGTAAGGGATAAAGGTAAATCCAACCAGATGTAATTGGTCATTGCCTGGGTAGTCAGCAAGGTCACCTAGACCCAGGCTTCATAAACTACCTAAAAGACTAATTTTCAAGTTTCTCCACTTTGGGTAGAATATTGAGATTGACACTGACTATGTCATGCCAATCAGAAGTTCTGATAGGAGGTTATATATCTTTGATGAATTTTTGAAGGAGCAGGGGGAAGGAAGGAATGTTTACTTAAGTAAAACTTAAAAAAATGGCTTTAAATATGGCATCTAAGAATGGAAAGAATTTTTTAAGGTCTTTGTAGGTAAGAAGAGAGAGAGATAAACACCACTGGCTGAAGAACTACTCAGATAAAGTTCATAAAGCTCTTTTTATAATTTTAGAATTATATTTTTTTAAAAAGATGAAGGAAACTGAGAAGAAAAAAAAAGAGGTGAAAGAAAAGCTGAGAAAGAAGTGGGAAAAAAGTGAAAGAGAGGAAAATAAAATTGAGGGAAGTTTATAATAAAAAGTGGAAAGGCTTTAGATTGTCACCCTTCCTTCCAAACTGCCTTTGTAGATGTGGTTTCTTAGTTTACCATCTTTGTCTGAAGCCTCCTTATTTGAGGAGAAGACCTGTGTCAGCCAGCATAGGATCAAATGTTGCTCAGTTCTTTAGCATTTGATTCTGACGTCATAGGGAAAAGAGTGCGCCATGAGCATGAAGTGTAGCTGGGAGCAGCAGTCAGGGTGATGATCCTTACGTAGGTTGTAGGAGCTAGAGGGTGCTTGCTGCCTCCTGTTTGAATTGGTAAGACAGCAGAGTGTGACAATGCAAAAATTCCTTGGTCAGTGTAGAAGAATCATGAAGATAGTTTTGTTTGTGGCTTATTTGCTTTTATCCTGTAGTCTAGGTTTACCAAATCTGATTATGGTATTCTCACAGAGATGGACCTGTTTGCTTCTGACAGTGAAATATGCTAGCACTCACTGGATGGTTTGAAAGACATTTATGTTAGCCTTCCCGGTTCACACATGATCATAATAAAGTAAATAAGCAGTCATCTTTAGCACGTCACAGTTAATGTCTCCAGTTTAGCCAAACTGTCATTGTGTCAGTCATTCATTCAGCAAATATTTATTAAATGCCTGCAGAGTGCCAGCTGCTGTTCTAGGAAGTAGGGATTTAGCCATCCACAAGACAGGCTAAGTTCCTGAGTATGAAGCATTTGCCAAAGTGAAAACCGGTGAGAAGATCACCTTTTTAGTGTGAACTAATGGATTTACTCTCATATTTACTCACAAAGCCTTTTCACTTTTCAGTTTTTGAAACTCTTCAATAGGGAAGAATATTGGGTGAAGAGAAATCCTTCTGCTTAGGGTTCAAATAAATAAATGAAAGCACCACCAGCAAAAACCATGATCCTCTTGGCCAACTGTGACTAGGAACATAATTCCTTCAATGCAAGATTGTGTGGCTTTGAACACAGGCAGTTCCCTCCCTAATCAAAGCTGCAAAGAACACAGAAGACCGTTTAATAGGATTATATCTAAACCTGTTATAGATTAAGTTCTCTGGCTGCTTGACACCCTAGTAACTAGCCCAAATCCGTATTTACAGAAAAAGAGATGAGAAAAATTCCTTCCTGATAGGAACAAAAGAACAGAATATCCTACTTCTCCCCTTGCCTCAAAAATTTTAAAAAAAGGTTGGGGGTGGGGTGAATAGACAAATGCCAGAAAAAAGAAGTCCCACCTCTAGTGTACCGCCAGGTTCAAAGCACCAGGAAGGCCATGGAACTATATCCCTCTGAGGCAAAACCCCACCGGCTGTTGTTTCCGAGGGCCCATGGCCAAGAGCTAACGTTTCTCCCCGACCAGCAGGACAGTAAATCCTATGTGACACAAATGGTTAAGCATTGACGGAATTTGAAATAGAAAATACTAAAACCCCTGCTTCTGAATTGCAATAACGAATCTGACTGTACCTTCAGAGTTTGAAGACCACTACTACTTACACTATCAACCCACCACCAGGAAAATTATGTGAAGAGAAAAAAATACGAACTTGTATTTCCACCTTAAAATGGATGGAATTGGAGGAGGTACAGATGACATAAAATGAGCAGTAAGCAATATTTTTCTAAAATATGATGGATAATCCCTTTCCATAGACATATGTTCACTCCCAAGCTAATTGACCTTCAGATGAAGCTATCATTCTAATATCTGTTCAAGAAACAAAGATGTTCATCAACTGACCACCATGTAAGTAAGAGTTTAAGAAAACAGCTTTTCCTGACATCTATGAAAAGTCTTAAGATTACTTCTGCATTGACTTTTACCATCTTGGAAGACATTGTATAGCTAATAAAGTGATTTTCCAAATGATTTTCTAATAAGATCAAGCCAGAGCTTGAAATGGACTCTGCTAGACAACTGAAGAGAAGTCTTAAGAGTTAATTCACTTTTAGCTAAGACTGCTGATTCATTCTAGATGGTTTATCTTTATACAGGTTCAGTAACTGTTTCTCATTTGCAGCGTTTTTTAACTTGAGTTCATACTTATCATTAGGAGGCTCTTCTAAGTTGACTTATTTACTATTAAATTATTCTGTAAAGTTGTACTGTAAGTATAGATTTTAAAATATAGTAGAACTGCTATAGAAATGTGAGGTGGCAGCTGGTGTTTAGGTGCTCTATGACAGAGATGGTGAGCCATGCTCCAACTAAATCCATCATATCAGAGGGGCTTGACTAAATCTGTCATGTCAAAGGGTGCTTGTCACAGCTGTACTGGTTAGTATATCTGCAGCTCCACAAACACATCTTCCATTGTACCACAAATATTTACACTTGGCCTGTCATGTTTACCATAGACATCCATATTTATTATTTATAAACTTGAATACATCCTCACATGATTTTAACAAGAGAGGCACTAAAATATATTATTGTACATTTGAGAAAAAATTTCCCCAAATCCAAGGTCCTGCAAAAATGGATGCATCCTGAGAAATCACTCTTGCTTCATCCTTCATGCAGTGACTAACAGCACAGGCTGTAATTCACTCAAATGTTCTGTGTCTCAGCTTCATTAGCCATAAAATGAGAATAATTATGGTCTGCCTATAGAGCTGTTATAACAATTAAATGAGATAGTGTATGTAATGCACCGTGGAGAGTAGCTTAGAGAAACAGGGCTCAATATATGTTAAATGTTATTATTACATATTTCATCAAGTTAGTGTCAGACTGCAAGATGTACCATTATGGATTATACCACTATAAAAGGAATAGAACCACTGTTAGTTCAATTGTGCAACTATGATATAATGCTTTTGCTTTTCATTACTGAGAATTTTTATCTTACATTTATTGAGACAGTCTTTAGATGGTGATATAGGTTTTATTATACAGCACTCTTACACACGTATAAAAAGGAAGGTACAAGTGAAAAAATTGGTTAAGATATTTCTAAACTTCTTCACATTCCAAGTCTGACTCCGTGAGTCTCTTTTTGACTCATAATTGCTGCTGGCTGTGTGTTTCCCACACTGTATCTTCCAGGCATCAAGAGTGCTGGAGATGCTGGATCATCCTCTAAGCTGTTGATACTCTTCATACAAGTGTTCATGCTGGTGCTTCCTGGATCTTACCAAATAATGAGAAGAGGTTTTCATACCAGCCAGAATGGACAGTTTTTCTCAAATTATGATTGAATCACTTCCTGACTGAAACATCCAGGAATTACCTTCATATTGTCACACCATCAGGAATACTAATCCAATGGATACATGCACAACAATGACATCAAAAGTTGGTAAACTAGAATTAATTAAATATAGAATGTTCCCAGTCATTTTTTCCCCTCTCTCACAGGAATAAAACGAGATGTGTCAATATGTACAGTCCAAATGAAATTGAAGGTCAGGCACTTTTCTATGGGATGTAGGCTTTGATTCTAATAGCGTCCATGTAGATCCAACATTTATTTGTAATGTGTTCATTTTTACAAACCTTATTGAGAGTCCATTGTATGGACACATATTAGGTAAGGTATCAGAAATTCAGAAAGACTAAGTCTTAGCCACTAAGACAGGGACGAATATGGCCCCCTGTCAGTGATCCTATAAGCAAACGGAACACAGTGACAGGACAGGCGAGGGGATGCATGCTTGGGGCATGTAGGTGGGACAAAGGACCTCAATGGCTTCTGCTTGGACCTGAGATAGGAAAATACTAACTCCAGGCCAGGAGGAAAGGGCACTGCAGGCAAAGGGGGTTTCCTCAAAGGGAAGGCTATGTTTCCTGATTTTTTTTTCAATTTTATTTGAAGCATCCTGTTTGTGTTCCTTGCACTGATAGGCTGAAATAAGCGATTTCTCTTTTTTCTTTCAGGAATTGCCTACTGCCTATTTATAACTTTTATCTATTCTCCTCTTGAGTTATGTTCATTTATTGACTTGCAGGAACTTTTTATGGGTTTTGGACATCTATTCATTATAAACTATATATTTTGCCAACATATTCCTCCACTGCTATCACTTGTTTTTTAATTTCGTTAATAGCAGCTTTTATATTCTAAGTTTAAATATTCCCCCCTGTCAACTCTGTTAGTGTTTTCCTTTATGGTTTCTAGGTTTTAGATTTACTTGTGAAGGTCTTCCCTCCATCTAAGACATAGTCTAAAATTTCTCACATGTTTTCTTCTCTCTTAATGATTTTTACATTAAAGTCTAAAACTAAAACTTATCTTTGAATACTGCATGTGGTTGGTATAACTTTTCCCCCAAAATGCATGTTGAATTTAAAGCTATCCTAGGTTTTCTGTTAGCTCTTACCAGATCGTTATTAACTTAGAAAATGACAGGCAGGAAACTTTCAGTAATCCATGCCAACAAAGAAAAGTAGTGTCATAAATGAAATAAAACTACTCTGTTAGTTTCAAATGTCAGAAATTGCCATCAAAATAACTTTAGTAAAATGACATTTTTTTTGGCTCTCTTAAAGCAAGAAAGGGTGGGGATGGATTTGTCCTCAAGAACGGGTGAATCTGGGGATTTGGAAGTCATAAAGACCAAGTTTGCCACTTGTTACTGCTTCTCTCTTGTGTTCTTTTTTTTCTCTCCAACTGCAGACAAATTTTTCCCAAATAGTAGGAGAAATGGGTGCAGAATATTCCAGACACACATTCTCCCTGCTCAACAACAAGGGAGGGAAATGTGTTCCCCAACAGACCTAATACAAAACAAATCTCAGGATAGGAGTCTGATTGCACTACCTTCCTGTCACTGGTTATGTCTTTCTCAGGCAATGACCCATTGCCAGATCCATCCCTGTGTCATGAGGGATCGCGTTCTATGCTGTGGCTGAGCAGCACTGCATCATGCTCCCAGCCCAGTCGCCAAAGCAGCAGGATGTGATTGCAGAGGAAAGAGGGCAGTCACAGACATGACTGACAGGAGAATCACTACCAGACAGTCAGTCCCTCCTATCTGTGATTTGCTGCAATCAATAATCATAAAAGCAATACAAGCATTTATATCTCCTTATTGACTGCATTAGATTTTTAGACACACAAGTTGACTTCCTCTTTGTGATTATCTTAGGCTCATATTAAAATTAATTTCCATAAGCTCAATACACAGTAATTGATTTGAAACCTGGGCTTTTGCCATTTGATCTAAGACAAGTTGTTTAACCTCCCCTAGTTTAAGATTTTTCACCTGTAAAATGAGTTCTTTGATTTTGTGATGGAGGGAGGTAAATCATATGATGTAGGGAAGAAGACAATCTAAACACAGAGAGAAAGGAGTCTGGGATTCAATTTTTGCAACAAGTGATCCTAAATCTCCAAGTACATATCAGTAGGTGCACTTACTTAGTGAGTGAGCACCGTGTTCAGGTGAACACGCACCTCTATCCACTATGTCCTTCTTTATTTTGCAAGTGTTACATAAGGAAAAGATAAGACCCAGAGCCAGAATTCTCTATATATGAGTCAGGAGCTTTCAGGAATAAGTAATAGAAAACAAAATTCAAATTAGGTTAATGGGGTAAAAAGGGATTTACTGGTTTCTATAATTGAAATGGAGAGCACACAGCACCCCACAGAAAGCTGCAAGAACCAGGGCCCCAGAAACTGTCTGGGGATCAGCTATGAGTGTCCTGTGGCCCTTTTGTTCACTGCTTGTCCCTACTTCTCTTTGTTTTTTTAGTCTCATTATTTTGTAACAGGGGGCGTGGCTGCCAGAAACCCCAAGTTAGCAACCACAGCCAAAGGGCATATTTCCACCCCAAGAAGTGACTCTGGCCCTAATTGGGTTATGTGTGTAAGACTGGGCCAGCCTCTGTAGGAATGGTAATTGGGCACATATTTAATCCTGTGGCCAGGAAGATGGCATCCATTAACTGAAAAATGGGGTATATGGGGAGTAGAGTTGCCAGACTTAGCAAAAAAAAGTACATCCTATATTTAATCTGGCAAACCGAGGTGGGAGAGCTTTCTAAATAGGCAAGATTAATAACCACTACAGTTTATTGCACTGTTTCCTCAAGAACTGGCCCTTCCGTCCTTTGCCATTTTGCTCATACCATGGGCAGATTCACAAGCAGGCAGACAATGGCTGTTGTCACAGGAATTCGGCTCAGCATTAAAAGGGGAGAGCATTCACGATACTTTAAATCCTCCCTGAGAAATTCTTTCTTAGATTTTTCCTTAAGCTAACATGCTTCTTCCATAAGCATCTTGGTGGCAGTGAGCTGTGTTTTATCCAAGTCACAGAATCACAGAGCTCAAGGAAGGTCTGGAGGTCCTGGTGGTCCTCTGAGGTGATTGGTAACTGTGGTAGCCTGCCCGAGAATTTTATGTGTGGCTATTTCTAGATGACAAGTTCTTACCAGCTACATGTTTCTGAAGTGTAAAGAGAGAGACAGGAGAGGAGAAAGATGATGTTAGGAAGCCGTCCAATGGAGCTCTGACCAGGGAGGAGCCAGTGAAAGTCTTCTGTGGGTAAGTGGATGTGGTCAAGCTCTGTTTTAGGCAAAAACACAGTTTAGAAGCTGTGAGGGACAGGAACAGAGGGCAGTAGCCTGAGGGGAAGCCGGTGCATTGGTCCCATTGAAGGATGTCAGGGGCTCAGCAGTGGAAGGAGAGCCAGAGGTACGGAGGGTAAGGAGACCTGTTTACACAGTTCAGAGTTGATAAATCAGCAGGAATTGGTGGCTGATACTTCTCATGCTTAACTTCACTCCTCCCGCTTTTAGCTTTAACAGCAACATGCCAGCTTCTCCCACCACTGAGAACCTATAAGCAGCACACACATCAATGTTCTAAAAGGCCGTATTCAAATATTTGCTGAAAATATTGCACAATTAGCAAGTTCATCATGTTCTCACCATTTCAATGACGTTTTTCAGTGAAAGTACTTCTCGCACATCTGTCTTCTTACTATATTTTTACTGTGAGAGTTAAGGCACAAGGATGAATTGTAAGTTAAAGCGATTTTTAGAAATATGTATGATTCAAATTCATTATTTCAGTTTATGTGATTCCCACTTTGACCTGACCTCCAAAGTGATGAATGAGGCGGGGAAAGTGTCAGGTCAGTGTTAGCTGCCTGCTCCAGACTCACCTCGCACTCCCATAGGTCAGCTGAATGGCCACGAATTTCGGGTGGAATCTCGGGTTCTCCGTCTCCAAAATAGGGGAACTTGGGTCAGGTGATCTCTCACGGGACTTCCAAATCTGGTAACATCCAATTCTGCGACAGGGGAAATGATAATTGAGAGCACAAAAAGATGATAACCTTTCACTGAACCTGACCTGTTGTTAAGTGAGCAACAATCTTGGATGTGGGCTATTTAAACACAAGCGTTGCAATCCAGCAGATGTGGTTTTGAATCCTGCTCCCGACTAGTCACATCTTCCTCCCTAGCCTCAGTCTTTTCATCTATGAGACAAAAATAGAAATACCTACTTCGTGGTGCCATCGTGAAGAATATATGAGAACAGGTGTGGAGAAGAGTTGATACAGAGCTAAGCACCTCATAAGTCCTTCATACATGGGGACTAGCATTACTGCTCACTGCGTGTTGCCTCATAAACTGGGAAACACAGAACTAGAGAAGTCATTCCAATCATTCATTCATTTGTAAGTCCATTCAGTTATTCATTCAAAAAATACCCATCTGCCCAATAAATATTTGCATGGGTATGCTAACAGGCATGGCCTCTAGCTAGACTTCCATCCAGGCATAGCTACACTCTCACTTTCTGGTTTCCCCCAACATGTTGCAATTGCAAGACAGAGGAACATTTTGGGATGATTACCCTTATGTTATCTTTCAAAGTAACAAGCTCTTGGTTTTAATTAATCTTGCCCCAAACTTTTTCAAAAAAAGGAAAGTCAGTGAACTCACATGGCAGCATCTATTTCCAGAGTCGATGTGTTTAGTCATTTGTGTGTGAAACTGCCAGAGGCAGCCTGGCTACTGTCCTGAGGAACAGCTGTACAGTGTTTATCATGTTGGCATTTGAGAACTATGTAAATACCCGTGCAGACCCGTGACAACCTCAGGATTTTGTTTCCAAATGTGCCATCGATGAATAACAGCCCAAATGAACAAAGCCCTCTAGACAACAATTAGGGTGGAGAGTAAGGATGGGAATTACAATGTGTTTCCAAGTGCTCTAGGGGTAAAAATCCGTTGCTATCATCACAAAACAATAAAGTCTTTGGGAGCATAATAATGTGTAGGCTGACTTTAGAATCAGACAACTCGCTTTTGTTTTGGAAGCAGAGATTCAAGTCTGGCCTAAGATAATCATCGGCAGAGGCAGCTTTCCTGATTAAGTCAGTCCCATGAAAGAACATGTGTCTGTGTTACAGAGAGCGCCTTCTTTTAACTCCCACCTTAGAAGCAAAGGCCGAGTTCCCCTCAGTTGAGCTTACAGCACCCTCAACTTGGAGCTTAGTGCGTCAATCCCACCACTGGCAATTTGAGATAAATTCAGTTTGTGCTGCCTCTGTTAGTGCCCCAGTGGTTCTCTGTCCTTTCAAATGACTCACTCTTTTGTCTTCAAATGGTATCTTGGAGATGTGCAAAGGCACTAAGGCGATTATTTTTTAACGTCTCCCAGAACTTCAGAAACCCTTCACAGAAGGTTGTAACCATGCCTGGTCATTTAGTCTGACTTGACTTAAAAAGGCATCAAATACAAATAGATTCTGGGAAATAAATCAACTTCAGGCCTTTTACTGCTGAAGGCTTAAAATAATTCCCAAAAAGGCTAATTATGTCTTTCTTTGCTCAGTAGTTGGGCTTAATAATAAGCACCAAACATATGGCAGAGATTGGGCTGCATAACCCATCATAGCCTTCTGTTCGGCAGCAGGGGTATTGGTCTTAAAGGAAAGTACAGAAAGCTTACACATATTAATAATTGTAATATCTATTGCTGGAAATTGTAATTGCTAACCCAGCTTCTAAAAATTTCTTTCAACTTACCAGCAATCAAAAAAGCATAATGTAAAATAACACTAGCAATCTATTTTTCATCTATCAGATAAAGAGGAATTTATAAATGATATTACTGGGGAGGATTTGACAAACTAAGCACTTTCATACCTTATGGTGAATGTAAGCAATTGGGACAATCTTTCTGGACAACAATTTGGCAAGAGTACAAGGGCCATAAAAATATTCATATATTTTTGAACTCATCATTTCATTCCCAGAAACTTATTGCAAGGAAATACTGTAAACCATGGATAAAGATTTAAATATAAGAATGTTCAGTGCAACATTGTTTATAATAGCCAAATGTACAATGAAAGAAGAATGATTAAGCAAATTATGTACATCTACCACATTATACAGTCATTAAATATCATGTGGAAAAACACTTTCAAAAAAAAGAGAGGGAGTGAAAAATAGGATATAGAACAATGGATACCCTTGGTACTGACTACGTAAAATAATATACCAATACATTTTGAAGATTAAAAGATGTTATTTTTAAAACTTCAGCAGTTTCTGAATTCTAGGAAAGAAGCTGAAACATGTGTTAGGGATTGAGGGAGGTGGAGATGTGTCCAGGCTATTGTCCTTGGAGAAGCTCCAAACCAGCAGATAACCTACCTCTACAGGGCTCCTCCCTTATTTGCATTCAAATAACAGGCTTTTATGGAGCCCTTACTATGTACCAAAGCACTGTGCTAGGTGAAAGGGAGACAGTATTAAGCAACAGAGACCCAGCTCCTGCCTTCACAGGGCTTCCAGTCTGATCAGCCATCAGCCATCTTCATTCTGCAGTCTACTATAATTTTTTTTGCAGTAGTAACACAATCAGGTTTTCAGGAAAGAGATGTCCAGTGGGATATGCACGGCTAGTGGACACTGGTCACAGTAATGTTGGGTGCTCAGCTGTAAGTTTCCTTTCCTGCACTGAAATTCCCTTGTGTGATCCTCAAGATTTTTAAAGTCTCGTAAACATGACTACCTTGTGCTGGCCAGGCAGTGGGGTGTAGTGGGAGGGGCTGGTCTTCAAACTGGCAGCAAAGCAGACATAAGCCAGCAGCAGAAGCCTAGGAAGGGCTCCCCAGAGATGCCGAGACAGAAGCATAGAGCAGCTGCTAGGCCAGAGCAAGAGGCAAGGAGAGTAACCAGGATGGGCTTGTAGAACATGTGGTCTTTCGCCATGCAGAAATAGATCTAAGAAATGGTTGGTCTGCTTTCATTTGCCGTGAATGTAGCCCGATGATGATTGGTTTTCCTGGAAAATGCAAAAAAGCATCTCTAGAACACATAACAGATATAAAATTCTGGAAAGAAATTATCAAACGGGCCTCGGGGAAAGTGGGACTTTGAGCACGTTCATTTTTCCTTTAAGCACAGATAGTACCATTCCATGCACAAGATGTCATGTCTCTTACCACACCCACGTCATTCATGTATATTCCTAGTACTCTTTATCTTACTTGCTTGTCTTTCCCATTGTTTTTCATTTGCTTCCTTCTCTCCTTTTCCTGCACTGATCACAAGTCTTCTCAGCTGTCAGACGTAGAAGCAACTTCTTTTTGCAATGACCTATTTTTGGTGTTAAAATAGCAATGCTTATCGTGTAAGGCTTTAAGCATTTCACAGGTATTGATTCCTTTAATCCACATAACAACCTCCTGGGTAGTAACACTACTCTCCCTGTTTGGCACAGGAGGACCCTGAAGTGCAGAGACAAACCAGCCTGCCTACTCACCCTGGTGAATAAATAGCTGGACTGAGACTGAACCCAGACTCTCAGACTCCAGAGCACAAGCTCACCTGGCCACATCACTGAACAGTCTTCCGGAAACATAAAGGACACCAGTAACAATTCTTGCCCCAAGACAGCTCAGTATCTCAGCTTTTATATGAAATGGAGGGAGGGTACAATTCCCAGGGTCCTGGGTCCAGGCATCTCATGAGTGGTGTGACACAGACCCCAGCTGGGTGCCTTAGAGGGCTCACTGCATCTATCATGCCGCCCTCACCAACAGAAAGGCCATAAGACTGACTCTACTACCTGGCTACGTGACATTGGGTAAATTGCTTAAGCTTTCTGATTTTACTTTCTCAGTCTAAAAAATGGGGCAGTAATACCCACCTCATCACACAATGTTTATATATTCTTAGTACAATGCCTAGCCAATAATTAGTTCTAAAAAATGGTAGGTATTTTTTCTCATCAATCATCAGCAAACATTTGCCTTTATGTAGCTTACATTCTAGGGTTTAGCAAACTGTTCCCTATGGGCTAAATCTGGCTGACTGCCCGTTTGTATTAATAAAGTTTTACTGAAACACAGCCATGTCATTCATTTACATATTACCTATGCTTTCTTGTCACAATAGCAGATTTGACTAGTTGCAACAGAAACTATATAGCCCAAAAAGCCTAAAATATTTATTCTTTGGAACTTCCCTGAAAAAGTTTGCCTGCCCCCGCTGTGAATACACTTACTAGATGGGGTAACAAAACAAATCTACCCCATCATAAATTTTTTTTAAGATTTTAGATAGATATCTCTGTTTGCTTTGTTTGGTGGAAAGCTAAAGTAAGAATGTCTATTTTCTAGGCAAATAACATAGCAACAAAAAATTGGAATCTTAAAAAATAATCACATCTATACAAAGTCATTTAGCAAGATGTGAAATGGTTTACAATTCCCCCCATCATTTGTCCTTTTGAGTCTAATTTCAACTTTGCTGCTGAAGGTTTCTTTCCTAGGCACTGATACTCTTATGAGGGAGGCAGTGGCATATGTTCCAGCCCTTTTGTTCATGTGCCTGGGTATATGTGCCTTGCGCTGAGATGAACTGAAATGAAACATTACAGGAGGGAGAATGGTGGAGGTTATGACTTCCAGAATAAAACAACAGCCTAGTGATCTATAGAATGTCTCCAAAGGATATTAAATTAATCAGCCAAGGATCATTGTGTGTTTTCCTGAACATCTGTGGGCTCTTTCTTTAGGGTGTTTGGCTGGAGTTTCTATGATGAAATTGTAGCAGGGAAGGCACTGTTATTGTCATGCAAGATGACATGTGGAGAGAGACTCTGATGGACGGACTCTGGGGACTCGCATTCACAAATCCAGTGGATTCTCTGGGAACATGAATACATGCTGGCCCGAGGAAGGGAAGCTGTGCACGTGCTATGCTTTGTTTAGACAGGGCATGAGCTGGTAGGAACAGAAAATCTGTTTTTCCTATTGTGCTCTTGCAGATTCAAATGGCAGCCAAAAATCTCAGAAAAAAAACAAAATGAGACCTCTCTTTAGAAGGATAATTGAAGGAGTGGGGCTGACCAAAAGTGTAGGGCGATCATACATAGTTAAGGGAAGAAGCGAGCGAGGTTTCCTCCCGAACTGAAGTTCACACGGGGTGACCAAGATCACAGATCCTAACTAACCTGGGACTTGGGGGAGCACGGCCTGGAGGCAAAGAGATGACTGTGGAGAAGTGGAAACAATTTAGTTTAATGTAAGAAGCTGTCTTGTCTTCAGCATCCATCAAATTAATTGTGACAAAAATTACTTTTCGAGTGTGTGCTTAACTAGAAAGGCATAATATCAGGGTTTGGTTAGACAATATTGCACAAAGACAGCAAGTACTATTGCTGGAGTTGGAGAAAGCACAGAAACATGGGCCTGAGACACCTGTCTGCAGCCTAGGTCAGCCCCTCACCTGCATAGAAGCTCAAAGGAATTACTTCATCTCTCAGAACCTCCCTTCTCTCCCTCTGCAGTCGGCCACACCTTATGGTCTACTCCACACAGAGCCAGTGACCTTTAGTCGCGACCTTAGGCGGTCTGCGTCACCCACAAGCTTCAGGCTCATCTCCATCTGCACTTTGTCTTGCCTTCTTTCTTCCAGAGAACGAACACTCTGCTCCTCTTGGTCCCTTTCAGACCACCCACGTCCCTGCCCATCTTCCCTCCCACCGAACCCTGGAG